GTATCACCAATGCTCCTTCCCAGTCACCGGGCAGTTGCAAACGCAAACCTTTTTTAAAAGACTCTGTGCTGAGCCCACGTCACATGGGATTCCCACGGACAAACAGTTTCCACTGCACTCACAGCTAAAATCACAAAGCTTACGAGGAAACAACCCGCACGGAGCCAAATGCTACGTACCAAATAAACAGCAGGGATCTTTATCTCACCAGATAAAACTACAAGCACGCGTAGAATAACGAAGGGCTTAAACAATTTAACCAGTTAACTGCCATGATATTTTGACTTTAATTGAAAAAGGTCCGCCGCTTGCGTCTATGGACACCGATGGCGTACAAATGGTTGATAATATCAGAATAAGGCATTCAGAAAAATATGTGGTAGTTTTGAAACAAAGGAAAATGTGTAACAATATGAAAAGTACAGCCACTGAAATGAGAAATGTACTGGATGGTTTAAAACAGTGGTTCTCCACCTTTCTAATGCCTCGACCCTTTAATACAGATCCTCGTGTGGTGGTGACCCCCAACCATAAACTTATTTTCGCTGCTACTTCATAACTGTAATCTTGCTACTGTTATGAGTTGTTATGTAACTATCTGTGTTTCCGATGGTTGCGACCCACAGGTTGAGAACCGCTATCAGGGTCGCCTCAGACCATCGGAAAACACGGATATTTACATTATGATTCACAACAGCAGCAAAGTTACAGTGATGAGGTAGCAGCGAAAATAATTTCATGGTTCGGGGTCACCACAACAGGAGGGACTGTATTAAAAGGTGGAGGCATTAGGAAGGTTGAGAACCACTGGTGAAACAGTACATTATTAGACACAACTGTAGAGGCAACCAGCAGTTTGGGAAAGAGATGTAGGAAACTCAGTGAGATGGCACCAGACAGATAAAAAAAATGCTTAAATATGTAAAGTAGTTCAGTGACCAGAAAGCTAGACTGAGAAAGCGCAATACACAGCAATAAGAGGTCCAGAAGGCTAGAAGAGTATATTCTTTAGTTACGTAGACATCCCTTCAATGCTCCTAATATGTGCAATGTAAAATTACATAGACCATGAGCTTACTCATCTCTTTCTCATTTCATAAGGATTATCTCTGCTGCTAGAGGCCCAGTGCATGAATTTCGTGCACTGGCAGGGTCCCTAGTGGCTGCTTGCCACCGGGTAGGGCTTCCCTCCCTTCCCCTGGCTGTTTGCCACCACAGCCTGGGCCTCTAGCCCTTCCCCCAGCTGGCCTAGCCCCCTGGTCGAACTTCCAGAGGACCTCCTGGTGAAGGGGACAATTTGCATACCACGCTTTTATTACATAGGGTTCTTTTTTTGTTACTGGATAACAGTTGCTTGGTTTGTTTTATTTAAAAGGTAACTTCTCTTGAATGGCATCAGGTTCTCTTGGAAGATATTTTGGCTTCGATGGTTGCTGCTCAAAGGTGCATAGTTCATCTCATAGGCCAGGCACCCTCGCCTACCCCAGGGGTGGGAACTAACACCAGGCACCTTGCTTGTGAAGCCTTCATGTTGTGCTGTGCCTATGGGAGCAATGCCACAAACATACTACCCTCTACTGAAAAGCGTGGCTTTGCGCAATTATTTCTTGCAGAAACATACATAAAAGTCACCTCGTATGCATGCATACAAATGGGATAAAAGTACCTTTGAAATGTTTCAGGTGTATATTTCAGGATATGCTCCTGCCCATTTAAAAAAAAAATCTACCTGAGAGTAATAAGCAAAAAAAGGAAGAAGCTATCCCAATCTGGACAATAAAAAATGGTTGATATAAATCATTAACACTCTTCTCTCCTCTCTCATTTCTAATAAACATCTGATTTTTGCGCAATGAAATCTTACGAACGTTAGCGCAATATCTGATCTGATAGAAATGAAGCACATGCTTGACTACGGATAAGGACAGGCTACAAACACAGCTAAACCCATTACCACGTGACAAGTGGCTTATAAAGCATAAGAAAAGCAAACCAAATATTCGACATCACGGAGAATTTGCAAACTTTTCAGATGGCACATCCCGTGTCACAGAGCAACGTGTGGACGGGAGAAAGAGTGCTGGGCCAGGGGCTCAGAGTGGAGCACCTGCTGTCACTCACCGAGGGGACCCACAGACCAGCCACCCTCAGGGCCGCAGTGATCTGCTCTTAAAAAAATGGCCGTGGGGGAGGCAGGGAGCTCTGTTCAGTGATTTCTAAAGACTTTCAGCTTTGAAATTCTCTTCCGATTACATAATACGCAATAGTCCCTTCAAACGTATTAGTTTGTGCCATAAATATTAAAACTTAAGATAATTTTTAAAACCTATATTCTCTTTAGTTATACATGTAAAACAGTTACAAAAAGCAAATCATTGCTACCGCCTGGCCAGGCCTTGGCTGGCCGGAGCATCGTACTGCACACCACACAGGCTGCGGGCCGATTCCTGGTCAGCGCACATACGCAGGCTGCGGGCTCAATCGCCAGGCAGGTGCCTACGGGAGGCAACGGATCCCTGTTTCTCTCTCACGCCGATGTTTCTGTTTCTCTCTCCCTGCCTCTCGTTCTAAAATAAAAAAATATATCCTCCGGTGAGGATTAAAAATACACACACCATCCCACAAATGTCAAAATTAGGAAAAGTTCCCCATAGTAACCCATGCCATAAACACCCTCCCATACTATTGTATCTTATGTTAAAAATACTAAAAATAAAATCACTCGGCATTACCTTTCCTTGTAGCCTGGATCATCTGAAGGCACATCGAGCGATACTCAGTTTACATCAAATTTAAATTTGCTTCAGATTTCAATATTAAAATGTGAAAACAAGTATGCAAAAAGCCAGGATGCCACTTTCCGACTTAAATGAAAACTGACCTGTCTTGTAAATGTTCTGATGACAATTATAATACGTTTTTAAAATTACAATTAATCAGTAGAGAGATTGTGCCTACTTTACCTGAACCTTATTGTAAATGTTATTTTAAAAAATATTTCAGCAGCCGTAGGAGAAATAATTGATCTGACAGCAACCTGCTGATCACCCCTCCCCCGAATGCTAACGCTGCCATTGCTCTTCACCCTGCAGACCACTCGATATCGTATTTGCTACCTGCAGTTCACGGAGTCCATGCTGTCTGAAAATATCGTACCGTAAACTAAATCAATGTCTTAAAAATTATTTTAATATATTTTTACTGATTTCAGAGAGGGAGGGAGAGGGAGAGAGAGAGAGAAATATCAATGATGAGAGTGAGCCCTAGCTAGTTTGGCTAGTGGACAGAGCACTGGCCTGCGGACTGAAGGTCCTGGGTTCAACTCAGGTCAAGAGCATGTACCTCAGCGGCAGGCTCCTCCCCGGCCCAGGCCCTGGTCAGGGTGAGTGCAGGAGGGAACCAATCCATGTATTTCTCTCACATCGATATTTCTCTCTGTCTTTCCCTCTCTCTTCCACTCTCTGAAAAAATTAAGGGAAAAATACCCTCCGTTGAGAATTAAAAAGAAAATGATGAGAGAGAATCATTGATTGGCTGCCTCCTGCCTGCCCCACGCTGGGGATTAAGCCCAACCTGGGCCTGTGCCCTGACCAGGAAGAGAATCCTGATCTCCAGGTTCATAGGTCAACACTCAACTATTGAACCATGCTGGCTAGGGGAACTATACCCAGTTTTAAGTCATATCCTAGCCAGTGAGCAGGATACTCCTTCCAGATCGTTTGCATTCTTGCCATTTCAGGGGGAATGGCCTTTTAAATGGAAACTGAGTACTGATGCTTTTGTAGTTTTTTCCAATGCTATGTTTTTATTGATTTTTGAGACAGAGGAAGGGGGAAGAGTCAGAGAGAGAGAGAAACATCGGTGTCTGAGAGAAACATTTTTTAGTTGCCTCCGGATTCACCCAGCTGGGGATCAAACCCTCACCCTGGGCTTGTGTTCTGACCAGGAATCGAACCAGCGACCTTTCAGTGTAAGGGATGGTGCTCCAACCAGCTGAGCCTCTGGTCAGGGCAATGCTTTTCGGTTAAAAGGGAAAGAGAGTGTCAATTGCTACTTCGGTATAGGTCTTATTTTCCAGACTTTTCCCATGCAAACTTGCGGAATTCACTTTTCTGTCGTTAATAGTTTGGGGATAATTTTCTGTGCGCGTGTTAACACTAAAAGCCTCTTCCAAATACACACCTCTCCCCGGCGGTAATGACTGAGCATCGAGGGGCAGGCAGGAGGGTCCAGCGGGCAGAATCCTGCATACAGGTGATATGAAAGCGACAGCAGAATGTGATCATGCATACAACCGAGTTCCGTGAACTGCAAGGTGCTTACAGATGTGTGCGGCACTATTGTTTGGGAGACAGCTGGTGCGGCACTATTGTTCTGGGGCTTTGTGGCACCTTTTAAAGTAGCATGACTTTCCACCACGTGCTAATGGCCACTGGAAACCTTCCCCTCTGAACGGGTTCAGAAAGCAGCCCGTGACTTAGATACTCCTTCCTAGACCTGGCCTTTTGGTCATGGGTCTACACATATGTCAGCCCCGTTTCTTAAACCTTCCCACAGAAGAGGCAGGTGAGCACTAGATTTAGGGTGAAGAGGAGAGAAGACCCGGAGAACTGGTCCTCAACAAAACATCAGAGACGGGTGACATAAGCGATGGAAATTCATTGTCCCCCAGGCCTGGGGGCTGGGAGCCCGGAGTCAGGCCCCCCGAGTCCGTGTCCTGGCCAGCAGACAGCGGCCGCTCCCCACGACCTGGATGGAGACAGTGTGAGCCGTCGGTGCTGGTCCTTCTAGAAACACTACCTCTATCAAGTCAGGACCAGACCCTGGTCTCTTTTAAGCTTAATTATGCCTTTAGAGCAGCGGTTCTCAACCTTCCTAATGCCACGACCCTTCAATACAGCTCATGTGGTGGTGACCCCAACCACAAATTATCTTCGTTGCTACTTCGTAACTGTCATTTTGCTACTGTTATGAATCGTAATGTAATCATCTGTGTTTTCCGATGGTCTTAGGCGACCCGTGAAAGGGTCGTTCGACCCCAAAGGGGTCTCAGCCCACAGGTTGAGAGCCGCTGCTTTAGAGGGTGTACGTCCAGATAGAGTCGGGGGCGGGGGAGGGGAGAGGGGAAGCCTCAATGCATGAATTTCTGGGGAAACAAACGTTCAGTCCAAAACAACTGGGTTCAAGTTCCCTGTCTGAGATGTAGTAACTGTTTAACTTTGAACAAATCCATGTTCTAGATATTCTAGATTCTCTAATTCCTCATCTGGGAAATGGGGGTTATAGTCACTGTCATACATAAGGATTGTGAGGATTAAAAAAAAAGTATATTAAGTATCTTTATAAACTGCTACTTTGGGATAAGGTTTTATTTTCTAGGCTCTTCCCATTTATTCAAATAAAGCATATATATATATATATATATATATATATATATATATATATATATTCCATATATATTTTTTTGGTCAAAGATGTTTATATGTGAATATGTTTATAAGATACTTTTTTCCTCCCATGAAAATCTTTAAAACATTCTTTCAAAATTTCTAAATGTGTGCAGGCAAATATATACACCTAATTAATTTTCAAAAGTGCCTCTTACCATCACTTAAGAGTGTTTACTAAGCGCGATGTTTCCCCAGAATAAAAGAGGGAAGGAATGTGCATTATTACAGAAATAATTCCCCGTGTATGCAGAACGGCTGGTTAAAACTGGCTTCCATCCTGCTTCCTGAGCTCATACATTTTAAACACTGAATTTGTGTTCTTTGCACTTAAAGGAACAAACACACTAAAAAATGCTGCTCCCGCCGAAACATGTGAAAATGTAAAGATGAATGAAACAACTTTATGTTTCACGGCATTTGCTTTGAAAATCTGATTAAGATAGATGTCTTCAGCTGGTGATTCTTCAATGTCACGTTGTCACAGTTCCCATCAGCAAGATGTTTTAAAGGCTTTCGATTAATATTGCATGCCAGAACTGAAATTACATCCTTTGTCGTTTAGTTCTTAATGGTGCAAGTGACATCTATCAAGTAGAGCTTTATGAAGCGTGTGTGATTTTTATTGCAGGCTGTTTTCACAAATCTCTTTTGGGTTTCAGAAACGCTGCTTGGGGTTTGCAATAACTACGCCTTTCTGCTGAAAATCAGGATGATTCTTAAAATTAAGGGGAGACGTATGATCAGTATTTACTTATCAATAAAAAATCCACTTCAATTGGTTGCATTCTTATTTGCATAGCCTTAAATATGCTTGCTTTCACCCAAATATTTTCGTACATCACTTTATATGATTATAATATAATCAGAATCCTTGCCAAACACACGGAGCTCACAAACCTTCATGGGCATGCACGCACAGTATCTGCTCAGTAAGGAAAAGAGAGTACACGTTGTTGACTGCTGACCAGATTATGCTGCAAAAGCACATTTTATTTAAAAAAAAATACAATCACTAATTTATTTTAAAGAGGAATCTGGTGTCCTGACATTAACTCCTAAATCTCTGAAACTCCAGAATAACAAATATAAGTCATTTTCCTGGATGAAAGACCCAAAGTCATAATAAAATTTTACCTATAAATACATGAGGAGGATATAAGTGGGGGGAAAAAAAAGACAATTCTTATGCTTGATGTTGTTTCATTGTTGCTGGTGTTTTGCTTTGGACATAAGCCAACATATGTAGGTCCCGGCTCTGTCACTGACGTGTCCTCCTCTCCCAGCCCTCACTCCCTTCATCTATAAAATTATGGGATAGATGATGATTTCTCCAGTCCTTTTCCCAGTTTAAAGAAATAAGCCATAATTCTCTAGTGTTTTTAGTGTGTGTGTGTGCATGCAAACACACAATTTAAAGCGTTGGTTGCTAATTTTATTTTATTAATTTTTATTTTTTTCATTTTTTAAATTAAGGTATTATATGTGGACATATCTTACCATTGCCCCACCCCCATACATGCCCTCCTTCCCCAGAGTTTTTCGTCCATTGGTTTTGCTTATAAGCATGGTTGCTAATTTTGAGTCTCAAATGCTGTTATACTTTACCACTTTGCATTTTATAAAGTATAGATCTAGCTAAGATAAACCAACTGATAAAAAAAAAAAAAAAAGAGCAATCGCAAGGGCTTATCCTGGGATGTGGCTGGCGCCGTAAGGTGCCGGCCTCTCTCCGGTCCGCTGTGCTCTGTGGGCTTTCTCAGGCCTGTGGCTGTGGCCGACCACACGCCTCTGATCAGGGAGAACTAACATGTTACCTTGAAGATCGCCGTTCTCAGCCAGCACGCTCTGCGCGTTCATCTTCTTTGGGTAATTGCACGTTTAAAATTAGAATCTCCGTCTCTGGCTCCACACGAGGGAATAATGCGCGTGCAGAAGGGTTTCCAATCCCAACGCCCCTGGCAGATCACTGCGGTTCCCGGTAACTCTGTCAGGAGGTCCCCCAGCCCCCCGCGACGTTTATGTGAATTTTTTCTGCTGTATGTGGTTCACTTTCGAAACATTCTCTCCATTAGATGGCATCGATTTTCTAAAGCATTCCTCCATGCCCCTACCCAGTCTGCAGCAATTCCGTTAACCCTGGAGACTCAAGAACTCCGTGCTTAAAAGATGATGCTCTTTCCTTAAGAGAAAGAAAAACAAATTTACATATTTTTCCTCTGTGTGTGTGTGTGTGTGTGTGTGTGTGCATATGTCTCTGTGTGTGTGTTGCTAGAAGTAAATAGTTAAGCAAATCATTACAGAAAGGAGTTACTAAAAATCTAAAAATAAATTACTAAAAATCCAAGATCAATTCAACATCACAGACCCTAAATGCAAAAAGGGGGTGCACACAGGGGCAGGAACTCACACAGAAAATTCACACCCATTAAAGCCATGAGGCTCATTATGCTCTGAGCTCAACATGCACCCCTTTACTTCGTCTCACAGCCAGCTGACGCTGTCGGCACTGATTCCCACTTCTCACGCGGGAGAGCAGGCTCGGAGACATGGCTATCAATGGTCACACAGCACGACTCCGGAGCTGTCCACACTGATTTCCGCAGGAATAATGACCGTTGTCCATTTTGTTTCAAGCGTGTTGTCACGAAGAAAATGAAGAGGAGGAAAAGTTGGCTTGAAGACAGTACCTCGCTCTGGCCGGCTGCTCAGTGGTTAGAGAGCTGGCTCATGAACCAAAGGGCCGAGGGTTTGATTCCCAGGCAAGGGCACACTCCTCAGCTGCAGGTTCCCCAGGCCTGGCTGCGGCATGAACAGGAGACAACCAACCGATGTGTCTCTCTCACACAGGCGTTTCTCTCTGTGTGTCTCTGTCTCTTTCTCTTTCCCCCAGCCCCACTCTCTTACCTCCCTTCACTCACTCTAGAAATCAATGGAAAAAGCACCACCAGTGAGGATTAAAAAAAAAAAAAGATAGTGCCTTAGAAAATCCATTTTAATGGGAGGAGGATTTCTTTGAGTCTGAGGTCAGGGGGCCAGCTAGCAAAGGCCGGAGTGAGGAGCACAGCTGGGAGTGAGGAGCACAGCTGGGAGTGAGGAGCACAGCTGGCAGTGAGGAGCACGGCTGGGAGAGCCTGCATCGCGGAGCTGGGCCGCCTGTGAGCCGGGGCATTTGACAAACAGCTTCATGTCATTCCCCCGCCGCCCAGACAAGGTAACGCTATTTCCTGCGTTGTGAGTGTGGAGTGTCATTTCTTAAGGTTTCTGAAGCCGGTTCCTCTCTTTCTCATCCTGGGAAACAAAAATGTTCTAGGCCAAAAAGTCTCTAAAATGAATCAACAAAAAATTACACGATCCTAGATATTCTTCTTTTGCTTCCTGTCCTTATCATACATATCGGGGTTGGCAGGTTATTGTACAAACGCACATCGGCTGCTAACGGAAGCATGAAACGCTTTTCCTGCATTCTGCGGGCGTTACTGGGGTTACCCAACCAACGGGCCCCAGAGCCCGGGCCCCAGGCTTAGCTCAGCAGCAGCACAACCGAGACAGCTATCTGAGGCTGCATGAAGAAGAGTCAGCGGCCTCCGAGTTTGTAAGGAACCGTTAACTCTTCAAATTCTTACTCTGATTCCATATTGCCCTGCTTATTTCTATTTTTGTTTTCAAAGATGCTTCATTCATTTGTGAGGGCCTCGACATAGTGTCCGCCTATATTATAGTTAAAACAAAATAGTGCCTGCTTCCCTTATTAATTTCCTACATTTTACCTACGTATGCGAAAATACTGGGCAATTTAAATTTTTAAACTGATCCATGTTATAAAAACAGTGTTAGAAAAGAATAGAAGTAAAATGTGCATTAACAATGGCCCTTTCGCATGCCAGTGCAAGCAGGGGCAGCGCACTCCAGATATATAATTTGACTTAAAAAGCCAGCAGAACCAAGTTCCTCAGACAGATGCCATGACATGATTCCTCCAGCAAAGTGGGAGCTAGTCTGACAAAGAACCCTAATTAACGTTGAAACAATGCAGACGGTGAAAGCCGAGGTGCACGTGACACATGGCTGCTCGCATTGACATGCAAAGTGGCCCCGGACCCTCTGTAGCTCCTTGAGGGCGTCCCCCACAGCGGGCAGGCGGCCCGCACCCCGGGGGTGGCAGCCAGCACCGGGCAGCGCCTGCAGCAGGAGGTCCTCCCGGAGGCAGTGTCCAGGCCCTCATGCCTGCGTGCTGCTCCCCCAGACCAGCACAGAGAAACACCTTCTGATGTCCGGGCAAGTCAGAGATGCAAAGATTTATAACCGGGCCGAGCGAATGGGACCGTCAACACGGGAAGTTACACTCACAGTGAAACGTCAGACGGGATCTGATGTTCATCCTCATTGGACAAAAGTTTCTCTGAGAAACACTCTCCAAATGTCTTTGTTTTTTCTTAATGAGGTCATATTTCTTTTCATTAAAAATGTGTTTATTGGTTACAGAGAGGAAGGGAGAGGGAGAGAGAGGCATCAATGATGAGAGAGAACCATGGATCAGCTGCCTCCTGCTCGCCCCTCACTGGGGGTGGAGCCAGGAACCTGGGCACATGCCCTTGACCGGGAATGGAACCGTGACCTCCTGGTCCGTAGGTCGGTGCTCAAGCACTGAGCCACACCGGCCGGGCACAGTTCCCAAATGTTGCTGCTAAAAGGGGAAGGGAGGTTAAAAATAGAGCTTGGGAGCCGAAGCCAGAGATAACGTGGGGCACGGAGACGGCGGAGTAGCTGGGACCTTCCCTAAATGCCTCCTTCCCCTTTCCCTGAGAATCCAGAGGAGTTGGAGCAAGACAAAAGGAGGGAGCCCAACTTCCAAAATAGCACTGTGCCGCGGTATTAATAGTGTCACAGCCAGAGAGATGACAGCCAGGGTAGAGCGCTTTTGTCTCTCCTTAAATAAGCTCCCCAGGCTTCGCAGCGAACCTGAACCTTTCTTTTTTAAACAGAGAGAAACCATCGAGGCTGATGAAGATGTGATATTTGTCCTGCACGGGCCCTCCGCACACTCCTGTCCCACTTCCAGCGACAGACGCCTCCGCAGCAGAACCAAACCTCCGCGCCAGGCAGCTTTCTCCCAAGAACCACGATGCCCTGGGCTGCCCCTGCCCTCGCAGGCCCGGGAGCTCCCAGTACTGACTCCTGTTGGGAGGAGAATTCCCACAGAAGGACACTCCCATGGGTGTTTCCAGGAACTCTGTACCAGAGTGCCACCAGAACCTCGCTCTGAAATGACGGATGCGGTGTACAGCAGGTTCCCTGAAAATGAATCTAGATAGCACATCCGTACTGGGGCGGAGGGGGGTGGGGTGGGGGGGGGGGAAGACAGGAGGAGAAGGGAAAAGAGAAGTTTTCAAATCTGTGCTATGGCCACAATTTAAAAACCCACTTCAGCGAGTGTAATGTCATTGTTCTTGTCCTGAGACACCTCACAGGGAAAAACACATTTTTCTGTGTGCAACCTGCCCAGACCGAGTTCCTCCTCCTCCTGCGTGCCCCACCCAGCCCGTCTCTTTCCCAGCCTCTCCACTTTTCCAACGAAATCACCATGTGCTGGTCAAGAGCTTGTGACACTTCGTCTCATATTTTCTCTATATGTAACCTCCAGTGCTGCCTGCAGCTTCCTGGACCTGGTCCCTGGTCAGCCCCCAGCCCCCGAATTCCTACCGCATCGCACTATCTATTCTAGACCCTTCCTAGGACCTCTCGTTCATCAGTTTATTAAACACAACTTTTGTCCGTGGAGTAGGGAGAGACCTGGAAAAAAGCCTGCATACTGACATCTTTGCCTATTGCCTTTTTCCATGCCTATCTCCCCTGCATACACCTGCCTACCGGTACTTCATTTTCATAAACGTATTCTCCTTCTTGACCAGCCCTGGTTCGCTTCTGCCAAGTCACAAACCCAGCTTTCACTGACCCAGCAATGTTCACGCACTGAGGACACTCAGGGGGAAGACAGGCTTATTGGCCTAAAGGAGCGTATGCTCTTTCTGTAGCCAGGACTTTGCATACCTGATGGAGCTAGAACACATATCCCAGACAAGAGCAACACACACACACACACACACACACACACACACTCACACACACTCACACACACACACTCACACACACACACACACACTCACACACACACACACACACACACTCACACACTCACACACACACACTCACATACTCAGACTATGAGAGAAGGGTGAGCACACAAACACACTCTCACACACACTCACACACACAAACACTCACACACACACACTCACACACACACACACACACACACTCAGACTATGAGAGAAGGGTGAGAATAAGGGATAGCTGGGTAGACGAGAAGGCTCACAGTATAGGCTACACTTCAGCTGAAGTTTGAAGGGAGAAGTCAAGACTGATGCCAGTCAGGCAGTGACATGCCGTGGACTGGAGCAGTGACACGGTTTGAAGAGTTCCAGGGAGACCAAGTGGGGCCAGTGTGCACTCCCTGTGGCAGGCCGTGTGGGTCCTGGGATGGGACTCAGGATGAGATGAGAAGTCGGGGGAAGATGAACCGGGGTGCTCTTCCCTGCTACCAGCATCTTGGGGCAGCAGTTCAGCTCCGAGGCCACGGCCCTCTTTTTAAGTGTGTAACTGAGCAGACTCATTTGGTCACAGTTCATTCCTTCACCCCACCGATACTTACTGAGCGCCTGCCAGAGCATGAGGGACACACTGGCTTAAAGAATAATAAATTAGGTCTTAGCTATGTTGATAATAGTTTAGAAATGTTCGTGTATTAGTGTATTTTGGTAAAATAGCTTACAGGTTGCTGAATATCTGGTGATATTGTAAAGAGTTGAAAACGGAAATAAAAAGTGCTTTTATTTACGTGCATGCCAACCACAGCTATGAATGCGAAAACAAATGTGCTTCCCAAGCTTATATTCTTTCCCAGACTCATTATATTTCCTGTTGTTAGTATAGCAGGCCCACTTCGATTACTGAGGACTCCATTGCCATTTCTAAAATTAACTAGCAGAGTTTCTGATGTAACCACTGAAGATTAGAAATTGCCTTCCGAGAGCCATTCCTTCACTACAGCAATGCCACAGAGCAATCCATTCAGTTCCAAAAGATAAGGCACAAGGATCTCTTCCACGGATTCACTCATTGATTCCTCCCTCCGACACCTACACCCCGCACTCCTATGTCAGGGCCTCACCAGGAACTAGTACTGCAATGGTGACTTAAACGGACACCCGCCTTCCCTACTGAAGCTTCCATCAGGCGTGACTCCGCAGCTTTCCTTCTATCGCACTGCACGGCCTTCCCACCCTCGAGTGTACAGCCATCCAAAGAGATCAGCTAGTATGTGGTACAGTCTGGGAGATGCAATGCGCTCAGCTCTGGAAGGTTCACAGAGGGCTCTGCTCACCAGACCACACTCGCTGGCTTGAGAGGTGTCTGTCAGGAGGAGAAGCCTTAGGAGAACTGGGACAGAGGCCAGCACACACCGGTGAGTGGGTCACAGGAAGCCAGTTCACACTGGCTGGAGTGGGAGGGTACGGTGGATGTTGGGACAGGGCAGCAACAGGCAAATGAGACAGGAACTGAAGGTGGAAAGACAGGAAGGGAAATTCTTGGATGGACCTTGCCTTGTGTATTGACCAGAGAATTTGTGTGTTACTATATTGGAAACAGGGAGTTGCTCTATGGTTTTAAGCAAATGAACGACAAGGTCGCAGATGTGGTTTTTTTTAAAATTGATTTCAGAGAGGAAGGGAGGGAGACAGAGATAGAAACATCAATGATGAGAATCATTGATCAGCTGCATCCTGCATGGCCCCTATTGGGGATTGAGCCTGCAACCAAGACATGTGCCCTAACCGGGAATCGAACCCATGACCTCCTGGTTCCTAGGTCAATGCTCAACTACTGACCCATGCTGGCCGGGTGGTCACAGATATATTTTATGAAGATTTCTCTGGCATTAGCATGGAGGACGGGTGTGTGTGTGTGTGTGTGTGTGTGTGTGTGTGTGCGTGCGTGTGTATGTGTGTGTATGTGTGGTGTTGTGTTTGGGTGAGTGGTGGGTGATGAGAGTTAGTAGCTATTTGCAGTGTTGCATTGAGCACATAATCGAAAGCCCTGGCAATGGGGATAAAATTGTCGGGTCAGATTCTAGAGATAATTAAGAGGCAGAATATATCGATTGCCGTTAGCATCAGATTAAATGGAGGGTAGGGTAAAAGAGAGGGATGTGCATAGAATTTTTTAAATATTTTCAGAAATACCTTTCATAGTTTAAAATTACTTGAAAGTCATGAGAACCCATTGGGTTAATCCTATTTGCCTCTCACTGCTCTAATGATTATGCAAATCTATACAGGATTGATTTAAATTTCTATTAACATGCGGCCATTGAAAAACTTCCTTTTCGCACCAGTGCATTGGAGTGTTTGTACTGCCTTTTGAATTACAAAGTCTATTGTTATTTGTAACCCTCCACAGCACTGAGAGAATGCTCAGCACAAAAGGCTCTCTAAAGTTAATTCTTTTCATTTTATCCCACATTCAAAGTGCTTTTCCATGCACGCTACCCATATTAAAACCAGGTGGAGAAGTGTGAGGAAAAAAGAACATTCTGGGAGAGAGAAATTTGGGGTTGATGGGAACCAATCTGACTTCTTAAAACAGCTCAGGAGGTGGCAGGGGAGAAAACACAAATATTTACCCCAAAACAAAACTGAATAAACATAAAACCACGGAGTAGATACCTTGTAGATTTTCTGAGCATTGTCTGAAACATAAGCCCAGTGCACTCCTATTAAAGTTAAACTCTTGCTTGTTCAATTGTTGCTTTCAGTTATAGGTCCCACATAAGTGAAACCATAGTATTCTTAACTTTTTCTGGCTGACTTATTTCGCTTAGCATGATGTTCTCCCGGTCACATAGAGCGATGTGCATTCTCTCTATGGCTGAGTAGTATTCCATTGTGTCTAGGAACCACTGCTCCTTTACCCAATCTATGGAAGGGCACTTCAGTTATTTCCATGTCCTGGGCACTGTGAAAAATGCTGCCATGAATAGGGGTGCATATATCTTTTACAAATAAGTGTTTTCAGATTTTTTTTGGTAGAAACCCAGAGGGTCATATGTTAACTCTATTCTTAATTTTTAAAAAAATATTTTATTGATTTTTTACAGAGAGGAAGGGAGAGGGATAGACAATTAGAAACATTGATGAGAAAGAAACATCAACCAGCTGCCTTCTGCACACCCCCTACTGGGGATGTGCCCACAACCAAGGTACATGCCCTTATTGGAGCCGAACCTGGGACCCTTGAGTCCACTGAGCCTAACCAGTTAGGGCTATTCCTAATTTTTTGAGGAACCTTTATACTGTTCTCCACTGTGACCTTACCAGGTTACCTTCCTACCAGCAGTGAATATGAACAAACAAGACAAACACACTTTGTAGGCTCAGACAACAGTGTGGTGGTTGCCAAAGGGAAGGAGGGGGGACTCCACAGAGACAAAGATCTGACTTCAGATGGTAAACACGCAATGCAGTAGACAGATGATGCATTACAGAATTGTGCATTTGAAACCCATATAGTTTTATTAACCAATGCCACCCCAATCTTATAATAAAAGGCTGAGAAGCAAATTGACTGAACGGTGGAATGACTGGTTGCTATGACACGCACTGACCACCAGGGGCAGATGCTCTGACTAAGGGGTAGTGCAGTTCAGCCAGAAGCCAGGCTCACGGCGGCACCAGTGGCAGTGGTGGGGGCCTTGCCTGCCTCCTCAGCAGCACTAAGAATGTCCAACTGTCGGCTTAGGCCCGCTCCCCCAAGGACTCCCAGGCTGTGAGAGGGTGCAAACTAGGCTGAGGGACACCTCCCCCCCCCACCCCCGCATGAGTGCACCAATTTCGTGCACCAGGCCTCTAGTAAATTTAATAAAAAGTAAAGTTCAATTCTGCTTAGAGTGATGCATCATCACACTATGAAAACGAGAATGACTGAGCACAGCCTCAACTCTTCCAGTGGATCTCAGCGGGCAGACGTTATAGATAAAAAAGAAAGGAAGCATGGAAATGTCGCTTTTTCAAATGGAAACCTTATTCTTTGACTGATTACTATTCGCGTTTAGAAATGAGAATTTTAGAGTAGAACATGGAATTTCTACTTAATACAGTGCTTTAAAAATTTTTTTCTTATTTTTCTAAAATAAATAACTTTAACTTACTTTGATTTCCCCAAATAGAAAAATTTGACACCAAGCACTGCTTTGCAGAGCACTTAAAATAAATGACAGTGAATGTGTAAACTTCACATATACATACACATGCAAATCAGGAACATACTGCAGACGGAGAGGTAAGCAGCAAATTAAAACATTCTAAATATGTAATCAGCTTTTAATATCTTTGTTTTTTTCTGGAAGGGAACAGAAGATAGACTTTTCAAAGCTCATGTCTCCGAGGCCTGGGAACTCCAAGCTTATAGCTGGCCATGTTTGTAAATAGTTTCCATGGAACACCCATGGCCGTTCTTTTGTCTGATGGCTTCTGCTCCACAACAATGGGTCTGAGTGGTTGCCAACATATGCCCCGCTCCCAGCCAAAAGCCTCAACTATTACCATCTGGCCCTCTAAGAAGAAATTCGTTAACCAGTTAGTTTTTTGTTTTTTAAAAAAATATATATTTTATTGATTTTTTACAGAGAGGAAGGGAGAGAGATAGAGAGCTAGAAACATCGATGAGAGAGAAACATCGACCAGCTGCCTCCGGCACACCCCCTACCGGGGATATGTCCGCAACCAAGGTACATGCCCGTGACCAGAATCGAACCTGGGACCTTTCAGTCCGCAGACCGACGCTCTATCCACTGAGCCAAACCAGTTTTGGCCAGTTAGTTTTTTAACTGGAATTTTGGAGAAAACTGCAGACACACATGCAGCTTTAAGAAATCATAACAGAGATACGAGTGCACCCTTCACTCGGTCCCCTCAAGGTGAAGTTCACATGAGCTTCAAGTTTAGCAGAAGCTGGAGAGGAAGCCTGCATACAGACACTCAAGGTTTAGGCCTAAACGGTAAAGTCATTGTTTAAGAAGGGAGATACTGCTGTGTCTGTGAGCCGAGCCAACCGTGCTACCACCTGAACTCGCGTGTAGATTCCGTGTGGGAGGGAGGAGTGCAGAGACCAGGCCGGGAAGAGGGCAGAAAGGGCAGTGGAACCCACCCAATGAGGTGTCTTCCTAGGCTGTCTAAAGTATCGTTTGAAATCATTGTCAGAAAGGCACAAATAACACATGTCACTATGTGTTCCATCTGAGTTTAAAATACATAAGAGATGGCACCTATCAATGGCTCCATAAGGTGCTTTAGCATTGAAATAATTCTTCTACAGTGGTTCAGAAGAATCCATCTGCTTAAAGATGTTTTCTCATTAATTAAGTCAGTTGAAGCTTCCTCAATGCAGTTTAGTGGCACTGAGTAAATAACTGCACGAAGTAACGCACATCGAATTAAAACAAGCCATAAGTAAATTCTCCCTGTGAGCATCCTTTCTGGAATAAAGAGGAGAATGAATGAATGAATGAACGAATGAATGAACGGCAAATAATAAAGCAGTGGAAAACTGCATCTGTGATCAGAACAGAAAGGCTCTGGTTATGTGGATCCAGTCGGTATGACCAGAGATCTTGAAAGATTGAAACAAACAAACAAACAAACAAAAAAACACATTGGAGAGATCACCAAACTGAACTGTCACAGTTGGAATAAAAATGTACGGGGCGTTGGGTAAATGGTGAGGAAGTGTTTTGAGTCACAAATGGATAAAGCAGCGTGTGGAAGCACTATGTCTTTTGTGAATTAAAATATTTTTCCATGCTTGAAAAGAAACAGAAAATACCTTGAGCTAAAGGCCTTTAAGGAGAATTCATTTTAGTTGCCGGTAGTATTTTATTATGGTTAACCTATTTATTTTTGTTCCTGAACAACAAAATATATGTGCTCAGCTCTGAAACATAAAGTAATAACAAATACTGACGAATGTGAAAGAATTTCTTCTCAAGTAAAATCATTTCGGTGATGTGTGAAATATGAATTTCAATATTTTCCTTTTTAATAAATAAACACTACAGCCTGGGAATATCTGGAAGTGAATGATACATAAACTTTCTCTTAAATATTAAATCACAAAAATTTCAATTCTGATTCTTCATCTGTTATGTTAGTCCTCCTCCCAAATCCTTGAGAAAATCCTCAGGAGTTTTAATGGACACATGCATTGAAGTCATAAATATGCGTGGCATCCATTCCATGCAGAAACTAGGTTAAGACAGAAATATGCTGGACTTTCAATATTTCTTAGCTTTCATTATCTCACTGTTTCTTAGAAGTAGTTTCTGTGGTGTCTCCGGGAATTTCATCATTGTTTTCTTGTGATCCTCTCCTAAAATACGACTGAAGACAAAAAGTGTGAACCAAGGTTACAAACAACTTTCACCAATGGGAAGAAATATGATTCAGAGACTTGATTCCCATGTCAAGATGCTTACTTAAAGGTTTACTCAGAAGAATATGCTTAAAAACTTGCCGAGACACTTTATAGAAATCTCTCCCCAATTAATATTTTAAGTTGATCTGATAAAAGTATGCTGTCATGATCAGAAATCAGCTCAGTTCATTGCGGTGTACACATTAGGGGCTATGTTCCCCAAAGGCTCACTATCAGGTGTGTCCTACTACGCAGATCTCAGCAAAACTGCGATGCAAACCCTGAGCCCCGTCTGGATCCGGGGCGGCACTAACCCTCAGGGTCTCCCTCTTCAAAGGCAGAAGAGGTGGCTTAACAGCTGCTACCTCCGGAGAAGGTCGAGGAGAATGAAATTCAATGAAACAATGTCTAGCCCAATTTGTAACTGAAGGCAGATGACCAATATGTGATTACTTATGAAATTACTGTCTGACCTACTCAGACCAGGAAAGCACTAGAACAGAGCAGACTAAGGAAGCACTTTTTATCCCCGTCCTGGCCTCATTCTCACCCTAGGACTGTGACCTTACCAAGTATCATTAATACATAGAGTGATCTTGGTCTCTAACAAGGCCGTTAACATTTCTCAAAACCCTGGGTCAGGTAGCTACCAGAAATGAATCTGAGAATGTGAATTTAAGCTTCTTCCACAAGCCAACAAGTTCTTCTGTCTTTTAAAGACAAAGGAGTTTCTTTAACCTGAATACTTCTAATTTATTTATTTTTGCTGTTGCCTTGTTTGTTAACCCTCACCTAAAGGTACTTTTCCATTGATTTTTAGAGAAAGCTGGGGGAGGGAGTAAAACAGAGAGAGAGAGAAACGACGATATGAGAGAGACACATGTTGGGCCCTGACTGTGCCTAGAACCAAGATACGTTCCCTTGGCCAGAATCAAACCTGGGACCCTTCAGTCCTCAGGCCGATGCTCTATCCATTGAACCACACCGGCCGGGGAGCACTTGGTTTTTGATTTAGCTCTAACTAGAAGTAACGGAAGTATCAGTTTGGTAAAATGGAGGGAGAACCATAGGTCCCTGAAAAGTCAGTGGGTTTCTCCACACGATGCCATTGAGGCCACCTCCACGGTAAGAATTACAAGGTCACTGTGGCTCTGAAGGTGCCAACCACCAACTCGAGGGAGACCTGGGCCCGGGATGCCCACCGCGGCTGCCGGGAGTGACTCTGCCCTGAAGGATCCCAGTGCCGTCGCCGGCATAATAGCGGCTCCCTCAGCCTGACAGCTGGGTATGTGTGGCCGGGAAGACGACGGGAGAGATAAGCACCGTCTCTGCAGCAACGTCCCTTCCCGCCGGGAACTCCTCTCCGGCTGTCTGTAAAATGTGCCTCTGCACACAGACCAGCCGCTCACTCCCGTGTCCTCGGAAGTCTCTGTTTGAAAATGGGTCATATCATCCCTAATTGCCCTGTGCCGAACGGTCCTCGGTCCTCGGCTT